CTGTAGGCATGGTGACAGGGCCCAGGTGGGAAGTATCAGAAGTTGTAGTGTTTGAAGTCAGATTGGAAGTGGAGGGGATAATGTTGGAAGAAGAGGGTGTAGCGAGTAGATTATCCCAATAATATACTCGCTCCAAATGCATTGTTAATATTCCTGTCAACCTTTGGAGATGAATGAGGTGAGGCGTTGCCCGGGCAACACGGTGAGGTGTTGCTCGAGCATATAAGCAGCAGAATAGCAAACATTAACCAGAGTCTACTTTCAAGTGTGGTCTAGAGCAGACACTTGCGAGATACTGTACCGACGCTCAGTACGCTCAACTCACACCAAAGTATCACCTGTGTACTTCTGTATATTAGACCAAATATATATATAGTATCTTAGTGTCTGTGTTTATTTGTCACCATACTTTACGTAACAATAGAACCGTTACATTGGTGACCCCAGAGAGTTTCGACGATACCCAGCCACGATGGACTACAACATGGACTCTCACTGGACCTCCACTGCTGCTGCTTGCTGTGGACCGCAGCTACCTGTCGTGGAACGTTGCCAACACCCTTGCCATAGCTATGATTTTCATCGCGATCATCTCTGCATTTTCATCTACTACGGCTTGCTGCTCCACGATCACTACTCACTCATCTGGCAGCTTCATCAGTAACTACATAATGTGTGATCTACAGCCTGTCCTGCCGACTCTCCGTCGCTGCCAGGGCACTGCTTGTTCTACAGGGGCGCCCACGAAAACTGCTCTTTCGTCAGATTCATCTACACGTTCACTGCATTCTGATACTTTGCCGACTCAAGCACTTTGCGCAGTACAGGACTTACAGCTTGCGTTTCCGACTCTTCGTCGCCTCCAGGACAATTCAGCTCTAGCAGTGATTCCCTCGTTGTCCTAACTACGTGCCTACATTACCTCCTATTGTCCTGGTGCCCGAGCCCATCCGCCCCGGATCTAAATGCTCCACCAACAACCCAAGACGCTACAGCTTCGACACAGAGCAGACAGCAGACTACGACCGCATCGAGCCGCCACGCTCTCGCTCCCTGAGTTCAGACACTCACAATTCTCAATCGAGCCGCCACGCTCTCCCACATAGAGCTCCACGACTCCGGCCTCACTCAGCTCTCTGCTCTGCTCCAGGCTTCGTCTCAACGTCTGCGACACTGCTAAATCCAGAGACACATCCGCCGACTACGCAGTTCACTTTTTCGACCACAGTTACCAGCAGCACCACCACCTGATCCTACGACGACGGACGATCCTGAGCGACCTCCCACCCTACGACCCCAGTTAGATGACATCAGCGAAGAGGAGGAAGTTAACTTTGATGGTTATGTAACGCGAGCAGGGCGTACAATTCACCGACCAGCTAAGTTCCTTGATCAAGTATTTTTCCTTTCATCCCCTGGGAGGGGGAGTTCTGTAGCGAGTAGATTATCCCAATAATATACTCGCTCCAAATGCATTGTTAATATTCCTGTCAACCTTTGGAGATGAATGAGGTGAGGCGTTGCCCGGGCAACACGGTGAGGAGTTGCCCGAGCATATAAGCAGCAGAATAGCAAACATTAACCAGAGTCTACTTTCAAGTGTGGTCTAGAGCAGACACTTGCGAGATACTGTACTGACGCTCAGTACGCTCAACTCACACCAAAGTATCACCTGTGTACTTCTGTATATTCGACCAAATATATATATAGTATCTTAGTGTCTGTGTTTATTGTCACCATACTTTACGTAACAATAGAACCGTTACATTGGTGACCCAGTGAGTGAAAAACCCACCTAGGTGGGTTTTTCACTCACTGGGTGTGACCCACCTAGTCACAAACTAGATCTTCGCCATGGATTTATCTACCAGGTTTCCAGCATACAACGCAGATGAGCCAGAATTTTGGTTCATGCAGATGGAGGCTATTTTCGACCTTCACGAAATTTCAACTGAGAAAGCCCGATATGCCTGTACCCTGCCAACACTTCCCTCGGAGGCTATGCACACTGCCTCCGCTGTCATCACCGGACACCAGGACGTACACTGCATTGAAGGCCGCTCTTCTACAGGCAGCAATGAAACGCCGCATTCAACAAAGGGACCAACTCCTCACTGACAAAAGATTAGCAGACAAAACACCAGCTCAGCTTCTGCGGCATATTCAGTATGTGATGCATACTGCAACTGGCCCAGCCCCCAGCGAGATTGTGAGATCACTGTGGATACAACTCTGTCCAAAACACATTCAACCGGCCCTATTCAGTATGGCTGACGACACCCCATTAGCCCAGCTGGCTACACTGGCAGACCGGCTTCATACGACGTCTGATAACGCTACGCTGTCCCACCTCAGTGATACACAGCAGACTACAGACACCCAACAACTCGACGTCCTCCAGAACCGGCGTTTCTTCCACCCAGGAAAAACGTACCATACGAATCCAGTATCAGTCTCTAGGCGACAGCGAGAACATCGTGGAGAGCTTTGTTCTTACCACCAGAAGTTCGGACACCAAGCCCACAACTGTAGGGCTCCTTGTTCCTGGTCGGGAAACTACTTCGGCGGGGACTCTTAACGGCCAGTGACCCCGCCATTTCAAACACTACACTGCTCTACATATCTGACGTCATAACCAAACGCCGTTTCCTCGTTGACACAGGTGCAGCAGCTAGTGTGTTGCCTCCCCCACTGGTCAAACCAACCCGTACTCCTGGTTTGGACTTACGAGCCGCCAATGGTACGTCCGTCCGTACATATGGGACCCGCGCCCTGGTTCTCGAGTTCGCCTCTCTGGGTCGCTTTACGTGGACTTTCCTCATAGCGGATGTAGAACAACCCATTCTTGGATGGGATTTCCTGCAACACCATCGACTTATGGTGGATCCCGCAGGTGCAGTACTTCGAGCCTCTCCTAGTACCTCTACACAAGTTAACATCGTCACCCCAGTCGCATCTACGGAACTTCAAGCACTCCTGGATGAATTCAAAGATGTGACCCGCCAGCCCTCGACCACAGGTGCAACATACGATTACGCATCACATTACTACAACGGGAGCACCTACCTTCGCCAGACCACGCCGCCTGGCACCGGAACGACTGGCGGTAGCACGTGCTGAATTCAATAAGCTACAGGAGGCGGGAATAATCCGCCCTTCGAACAGTTCATGGGCTTCACCTCTCCATATGGTCCCGAAAACATCCAGGATTTCTCACAGGGATTGAGCAACGCAACCGTTTTTTCGAAAATTGACCTTGTGCGGGCATTTCACCAGATCCCTGTGGAACCGGCAGACATTACGAAAACAGCGATCACAACACCTTTTGGACTGTTTGAATTCGTCCGGATGCCTTTTGGTCTACGGAATGCAGCCCAGACATTCCAACGCTTCATCGACCAAGTAGTTAAGGACCTTCCTTTTTGCTACGCCTACATTGACGATCTGCTGGTGGCCAGTACATCACCAACAGAACATCTGCTACACCTCCGACTCCTTCTCACCCGTCTGCGCAACTTCGGCTTGCAGCTCAACTCCGAGAAGTGTATTTTCCATGTTCCAGAGCTGGATTTCTTGGTACACCGTGTGTCAGCAGCAGGGGTCCAACCACTAGAGAAGAAAATCGAGGCAACTTTTTTTGGGTCTGAAGCCATATTGGCAAGGGCTAAGTATATTGAGTTTGGCTAGATATGAGTAAAGCTGCTTATAGATTAGTTTTTCAAAAATTTTTGACAAGTTTGGCAGGATTGATATAGGTCTGTCGTTGTTAACATCTGTGAGATCACCACATTTGTGGACAGGCGTTACTCTCGCTTTTTTTAGAATATCTGGAAAGGTTTGAAGTTCAAGTGACTTGTTGAAGAGCAAAGCAATAGCAGGGGCTAAAGATCTGGAGGCTTTTTTGTAAATTAAAGTTGGTATCTTCTCAAGGGCACCAGACTTGGTTTTAAGGGAAAGGATTATCTCATTGACGTCAGTGGAATTAATAGGCTTTAGGTACAGAGACTGTGGATAGTTACCTGTAAGATAGTCCTTAATGTCAGTACTGGAAGATGGAATATCATTTGCAAGGGATGAACCAATGGAAGAGAAGAACCTATTGAACTCAATAGCAGAATCAGAGGCTGAAAGCTGACCATCGTTATTAGACAGGAGAGTCGGTTTGTTATTTAAAGACTTCTTTGATCCCAATATTTGTGAAATTGTGCTCCAAGTTTGTTTAATGTTGCTCTTTATTTGGGTAAATTTATCTTCGTAGTATTTAGTTTTGGCTCGTCTAATTATCTTAGCAATAATGAGTAATTCTTTGAGAATTCTTTGGAGACAATTCCTAACCTATACTTCTTCTCAAGGTCATGTTTTTTATTAATAGATTTAAGTATTCCCTTTGTAAGCCAGGAATTGTTAAGCCTTTTGGTTGTGACTTGTTTTGTAAGCATAGGACAGTGGGTATTATAAAGGCTAAGAGTTTTTTGAAGAAAAGATTGCACTGCTAGGTTGATGTCCTCTATGTTACCTAACTCGGACTCCCAGTTGACATTATCAGCAGCAACTGAGCACTTCAAACCAAGACAAAACACTGCAATGGAAATTATGCATTTCAGGAGAGCCAGACAACTCTCTAATGAAACCGTTAATCAATACCACACACGTCTGCAGGGCTTAGCAGCCCATTGTGAGTTTGCTGATCTTGACAAAGAAATCAAACAGCAAATAATTGAATCATGCACATCTACACGTCTTCGTCGAAGAGCTCTAGAACTTGTTGATGATGAAAGTTCTCTTACCAAGATACTGGATATGGGTCGTCGAATGGAAGATGCTGCACGTGATGCTCGTGTCATGGTGTGCAGTGCCAACAACGGTTCTGCCACTGTTACTAACAGTGATCAACCCGTTCTCACACAAGACAGCACATATATGACTTAATGCTTAAAGTCAATCTGTTGAATGTGATTTAGTACATATGTGATATATTTCCAGTTACCTTTTTTACCAAGGCCCAAACTCTACCTTTACCTCTGGTGCTCACTCTTCTCTTGCCTTTACCTCCGGTGCTCACTCTCCTGCCTTTACCTCTGGTGCTCACTCTCCTGCTGCCTTTACCTCCGGTGCTCACTCTCCTCCTGCCTTTACCTCCGGTGCTCACTCTCGTGCTGCCTTTACCTCCGGTGCTCACTCTCGTGCTGCCTTTACCTCCGGTGCTCACTCTCGTGCTGCCTTTACCTCCTGTGCTCACTCTTCTGCTGCCTTTACCTCCCGTTCTCACTCTTCTCCTGCCTTTACCTACGGTGCTCATTCTCCTCCTGCCTTTAGCTCCGGTGTTCACTTCACTCTGCTGCCTTTACCTCCGGTGCTCACTCTCCTGCTGCCTTTACCTCCTGTGCCCATTCTCCTCCTGCCTTTACCTCTGGTGGTCATTTCACTGTTCTGCCTTTACTTCTCGAGCTCACTCTCCTGCTGCCTTTACCTCTCGAGCTCACTCTCCTGCTGCCTTTACCTCTCGAGCTCACTCTCCTGCTGCCTTTACCTCTCGACCTCACTCTCCTGCTGCCTTTACCTCTCGAGCTCACTCTCCTGCTGCCTTTACCTCTCGAGCTCACTCTCCTGCTGCCTTTACCTCTCGAGCTCACTCTCCTGCTGCCTTTACCTCTCGAGCTCACTCTCCTGCTGCCTTTACCTCTCGAGCTCACTCTCCTGCTGCCTTTACCTCTCGAGCTCACTCTCCTGCTGCCTTTACCTCTCGAGCTCACTCTCCTGCTGCCTTTACCTCTCGAGCTCACTCTCCTCCTGTATTTACGTCCGGTGCTCACTCTCCTGTCTTTACTTCCGGTGCTCACTCTCCTCCTATTTTTACCTCTGGTGCTCACTCTCCTCCTGCCGTTACCTCCCGTGTTCACTTTCCTCCTGCCTTTACCTGCGGTGCTCACTTCACTCCTGCCTTCGACCTAATGCCATAACGACGAGAACTTTTTGAACACATTGTTACTGTATAACTTATGTGGTTCTTGGAACACTATTGCTACCTCTTCTCCTAATTTGCCTTTTGAGTGTGTTGCAGCACGACTGACATCTCAGGAGACTTGGAAGTCTATATTCACACTGCTTCTGTTGTGAATACCATCGTTGTTGCTGTTCTTGTTTGACATTCAAAAAAGCTTATGACATCACTTGGAGATGGAATATTTTATCCCAACTACATTCTTTTGGTCTTCGTGACAATCTGCCACTCTTCTTTCAACGCTTTTTTCTCGTCTTTCTTTTAAACTTTAAGACTTGATTTCACTTGGTACCAATCATGGCTTAAAGTTCTTTGCAACTACAGCTTGTGCTATAACTTACTCTGAAGCAGGTCATTCTTTGTCCCTAATCGCCACTCTACGGTAATCCCTTTCTTAATAGATTCCGCTAAAATTTTGGGATTTATCTTTGATACTTGTATCTTGATCACTTCATATCTCTCATATCAGACTTGAATTCTGAGGCCCATTCCTTAATTAAAAGTCTTGTCTCATACTTCTCGGGTAGTGAATTGAGTTCCATTGTTTCTAAAACTGTTTTCCCCTATCACTCATTTTTGGTTATTTTGTAAACTTTATGTAAAGCAATTACCCCCTCTACCCCCCAAAAAATATTCTTGTAATAAAACTAAAATGACATTTTATTTTGTCAATATACCGCCCCTGTTAATGCTTGAATCTTTTAATTCTTTACAGGACTGTGATTGTTACTGTTTTCACTACCTCACATAGTCCTATACATCCTCACTCTCGCTTATGACATGTTCTCTTACCCCTCTGGTGGGGCCCTCTTCCCACCTGCCTTTTTTCTATAAATGTATATCTAGCTTACTAGATTCCGCATTTCACTTCACATTCATAATTTCTCTCATGTTGTTCTAACCTTGTCCCCCATCCCTCATGACATGGGGAGTCCCACTTGCAAAGTTTTGCAAGGAAATGCCTTTTCTTTGCACTATTTAGATTAGTTGAAGTCTGCCAACAGTGTTGGCTACACAGTTTTCTTCCCTAACCAAACATGTGTCGGCCACCTACCCCTAGTGGCCAACATCTTCATGACGAAACTCTATGCAATCTTGTATACTCTTCGTCATCTGTTTTTCTGATGTTAAAGTTCCATTGTCATTGTGGTTGACTCTCGGAGCTCTAGTCATTTAACCCTTTGCATGCTGTGGTGCCTGAAATCCAATATTAGATGTTTCTTATCTCAAGCAGCTTTATGACAAGTCATTGTGCTGGGTTCTCAGCCATATTGATATTAACTTGAAAAATGAACTTGCGAACATTACCACTAAGGATGCCATCCCATTTCCCAAAAAGGCATCCTTCATTCATATTTATACAGTCATTCGTTCCTCAATCTGCAACCATTGGCTGGTGTTACAGGTAACACCCTGCATGCCCTTAATGGCAACTCTTGGTCTTCCTCCTACCACTGTAACAGATGGTCACAGATGGTTCTGGCTAGGTTACATATTGGCCACACCTGGAATGCCACCCACTTCTTACTTTCCTACTTACAGTCTTGCACCGCCTTGGTGAATCTCATAACGTTAATTTTTTTTTTTTTTTACATCCTTGGTGATATTTAGCACCTTTGCAATACCCAGAGACGCTGATGGTGCTACATAATCTTCCCAGCTTGGTGCTTTCTTTTTGATAATTCTAAAGTTGTTAGAATACACTTGTTACAAGCAACAAACATATATTGTTGACAAAAATAAACTTTTCATATTGTGCTCTCCATTATTTTATTTACTCATGAAAGGATGCCTCTGAACTATCTCAATGTTAGAGGCAACTATAAACTTTCATAAATTATAAAATCCATTGTATGGAATGTCATTGATGGGAACATCATATGAAGATAACTAGCCATACCAAATAAATCACTATCTAGTACAGATTTTATTTTTTAATTATAAACATTCATCCATTCATTACTTGGAAAACACCAAACTATGAAATTAGTACAAGAGCATATGTATATGATTGTTTTGATACAACAATCAATGCTAAACTTTAAAGATTGCCAAACAATTTGAACTCATTTCTTAACGTGGGAAAGATGGAACATATACCTAACAGGTTAAAACAAATTGTGTACCTTAACTTTTACATATTACAATTTAAACAAATTTAAGTATAAAAAGGGTGTAGAAAGCCCAGTACACAAGAGGTGGGCTTGCCAACTAACACCTTCCTACATCCTGGAGAACAGAGAACCGCTCACAGCATCGTCTTCACTCACCCATTATATGGGTAATAATCTTCAAAACAAATGTATTACCAAAGATGTACTACTGTATACATATTACTCAAAAAAAAAAAAAAAAAAAAAAAAAAAAAAATGTATTTTACAACAAAAGAAAACTATTAACGAAACGTTAAAGTGATACAAATAATTATATCCTCATTATTACCACTTCCTACTTTCTTAGGGATGCATCAGCTTGGGAAAAAATAGGAGCTATTTTTTTTTTTATAAAATACAATATGCTCACTGGGTTCTGCTAATTTAAATGAGTTTCTGGCCCATTTATATTATAAAATGTGATGTGTTTAAAAATCATTACAAAGATCAGAAAAGTGCTAGATAAAGTAGACACCAATGTCTACATTACTTGTCAATGCTTTCCATATTTTGTACTGTAATTATAATTTGTAGAGCTGTTTAGCACTAAACCTGTGGCTAGATGTGTTAACGTATACCCCCGTATGTGTGTATTACATATACTCTACAGAAGATATAATATATAGGCAATCGACGATCATGAAACACTGACACACACACAAAGGGTATACTAAAATATATATAAGAATCTTTACAACCAATGGAACATTCCAGTATATTAGAGGAACAGGAAAATTGCTGAACAGAATTTTGCTTGCCATGTTGAGTTATGCCCCATTTTTCATGCAACACCATTCAAATGCATGCGACAATCTGCATATATATTTTGTGAAACTATTTACACTGTAACAGGAATTATGGTGTATTATAAATCAAATATTGCATTCACCTGGACTCTAGGAGACTCGGACCACGGACCCGTTGTGTGCGAGGCCGTGTGACAAGTTAAATCAAATATAAGAAGAATATTTTATTACTACTGTATTTACAAAAACATAATGAAATTGATTTCCATATTGATAAATTTGATAATTGTTGGCATAATTACTGTCAAGTTTTTCCACGTTCTGTTGACCGTCAATTCTGCAAAAGTGGATTTGCAAATTTGGTTTAAACGAGCACCCAAAATCTGTAGAGGCAGGCTTGGATGTACACGGATTGTCTGGGCACGAGGCAGAGCAAATTTGGCTGTGTGCACACTTTTCAACCACATGTTTGTTGGGTCTGCAAGATACAAGCTAAACTACGTCTAAAGCTTTTTCTTGTATGTGCGATGCATTGTGCTATGCTCATGTTTACCCTAAGTGCTTCCTCTGCCCATCTGCCTCACCTTTAACTTATAGCAAGCCAAAAAATGTGTTTTACATTGTGATGCCTAACAATTTTGTTTTGCACATTACTCTCTTCCATCTCTGCACCATGCATCCACAGCCTATTTTAAACTATATATATATACCATTTTAGTATAAATGACAATATTAAGTCAAAGAATACTGAAAAGTGAAATTGTAATATTACAATCACGCAAGACTGAATTTACGTAAATAAAACATTATATAACGGAATGCGCAGCCAAAGGGTTCAAGAGTTCTCATAATAAACACAGTATATTATTATATTATGATTTAACATTCTTTAGTTCTAATGATGCTGTTCTATTGCATTTAAGCCAAAAATCTGTTTACAAATCTTTGTCACAAGGCAATATTTGAGCAGGTACACCTTACAGGCTTCCAATGCTCTAGCATATGGCTCAGTGCCATGTATAATCGCAGCCCACAGCTCGGCATATCAATTATGCATTTATTTCAACACCAATTGAATAAATTACTGTTACTGGTCAAAATATAAATATTGATAACATTTTAAAACTAGGCAGTGTCTCGTACACCCAACAATGGTTACCCATTTTTTTTTTTTCGAATGTTCAATTCAATTAATTTTTGAGTATTTTGATACAAAAATCAATGTTCAAAATCTATAAACATTTTAAACAAAAATTAAAAAGACTTTTATATATCAATAAGCAAGTCAAGAGTGTGACACAGTTAACAAAAATGGGTTCCCCAATTGGAATGGGAAAGTGTCAACACAGAATGGTCACTTGGACATCTAGCACACCCTCTTACCAGACACACGACACATGTAAGCTGTAGGAGGCTTTACATGTGCTTACCTGGTTGTGTGTAAGGGGAGAGAACTCTAGTTCAAGAGTCTCCCCTACTAGCTACTGTACTTGGTGCAGTTATATCTCCTTACGTTAGTTCTCTCTCACACTTGCCGTGAATGAAGGTTGTATGGGCCGAATATCCAATTGGGTTTGTTGGTCTTGGGGACAAAATAACATGGGACTTTTTAACCCCATTATAAATCTTTTTATAAACATGGGAATGCTGTACTTAAACATACACAGTAAAATATTTAATCTACTCTGTTTGCAGATCTTATAACACTGTAACTGCATCTGCAATAATTTATTATCGAAGAACGACAAATTTATTCCGCCTTCTTCTTTCGTCTTCCTCGGCCATCTTGAGTGGCGCCGGCTCTCTTCCCCGACTTCATGTACAGCCCTCTAGGCCTGCCTTTTTTCCTCTCTGCTCTTTCTTTTTCTTCTAGTTCTTGATTTTCACGTTCAATAAGAGTAATTAATGTATTACATCGACGCTGGAGCTCCAATGCCGTTCGACTTTTAATGAACCAATCAAACCGGAATTGAGGTGCAGATCTGGAAAGACAAGAAGCGAGATGAAAGGAGGACATGGATGCCAGCCCATACAAAATATTGCTTTAATGCAATAAAAAAAGCTTTCTGCACTTCATGTTGCTGTTTAAACTAAACAAAATACAGCAACATTACAGTAGCACTAGCAAGCAAGCAAACAAGTTATTAGGGGTCTCACAGTACAGTTGGCTTCATTCTCTACTCGCAATCAAGGATCCCAGATTCGATTCCCAGGCAGAACGGGAATTCAGGCAGGGAATTCGATTCCCTGCCCGAAACGCTTTGCGTAATAGTGGCTTTAGGCATTGTATGTACTAGCCCTATCTATTAACCCAACAAACTTTGTAAAATCTCTTTATGTATGTACCTTACCCTAAATAAACATTTATTTATTTATTATATTTATAAAACAGAAATGGTTGGGCACATTTCCTTTCACCTAATGCCTCTGTTAACCTAGCAGTAACAGGCACTCAAAGTTAGGAAACAGTTATGGGGTTGCATACCAGGGAGAGTCCAGACTCTACCATCAACTTCCTCAAATGCTAGACCACACACACATAATAAGGCACCCTTATGGAATCACAGATACTAAGAACCAGTATATAAAATATCAAGCAATTCCACAAATACGATAACATCTTTCCTATTTGCCCACATGTAACATTTCGAAGGCACACTGAAGGAAGTCCATGTTATAACTGGCCTCATAAATGAGGCAAATGCAATATTTGCAACATTAACTAAAACTCACATTAGGGATTATTATAAAAATGAGATATGGGTGCCAACGGACAATCTTTTCAGATGTGACAGGAAACACAGACTACAGGGTGGGGTCAGCCTGAACATCAAAGACAGCCTCAGTGCCACTCAGCTGCTAAACACCACAAACAATATGGTGGAAGTGCTCATAGTCAAAATAGAAAAGATAAATGTGGTGACTGTCCTTGTATATAAAGCACCAGATACAAATCCTCAGTCGTTTAAAACCAACTTATAAAAATAGAATTCTGCCTAGAAGACCTCACAAACCCCTACCCCGAACACCATTATGCTTAATGATTTCAAATCAAGGCATCTAAACTGGAAAAATTTGAACTTTTATACCAGAGGAAGTAGTCTAAATGAAGAGTCACACAATGACCTCTTGCAGATGTGACAGATTTACTTTAAACCAGCAAATAGTAGAACTAGAAAACACCTAGATCTTATTTTTACAAACAAATATTGAACTGATTAGGGACATAATGATTACAAATACTGTACATGTTACTCAGATCACAATGTAATCAAAGTTCAAACATGCATGGCCAACAGACTTCTACAGACTCAAATCTAAGAAGAAGAGAATTCAAGAAATTCAATTCTAATAAACAGATTAACTGAGAATGATTAAACCAAAACATTTCAGAAATATTCAAGGGAAAACTAGATAATGCAAACTTAAACCAGTGTCTTTAGAAAATAGGCACTGTAGCAATATAAATAAATGAATAAATAAATAAATAAATAAATAATATATATACAGTATATATATATATATATGTCGTACCTAGTAGCCAGAATGCATTTCTCGGCCTACTATGCAAGGCCCGATTTGCCTAATAAGCCAAGTTTTCCCGAATTAATATATTTTCTCTATTTTTTTTCTTATGAAATGATAAAGCTACCCATTTCATTATGTATGAGGAAATTTTTTTTTTATTGGAGTTAAAATTAACGTAGATATATGACCGAACCTAACCAACCCTACCTAACCTAACCTAACCTAACCTATCTTTATAGGTTAGGTAGCCGAAAAAGTTAGGTTAGGTAGGTTAGGTAGTCGAAAAACAATTAATTCATGAAAACTTGGCTTATTAGGCAAATTGCGCCTTGCATAGTAGGCTGAGAAGTGCGTTCTGGCTACTAGGTACGACACACACACACACACACACACACACACACACACACACACATATATATATATGTATATATATATATATTTTCGACATATACTCGTATTCTTATATTCGACATATATTTGTATTTCGACATATACTACGTATTCTTATATTCGATATATATTCGTATTTTTTATATACGACATACATATATATATATATATATATATATATATATATATATATATATATATATATATGTCGTACCTAGTAGCCAGAACGCACTTCTCAGCCTACTATGCAAGGCCCAATTTGCCTAATAAGCCAAGTTTTCATGAAATATTTGTTTTTCGACTACCTAACCTACCTAACCTAACTTTTTCGGCTACCTAACCTAACCTAACCTATAAAGATAGGTTAGGTTAGGTTAGGTAGGGTTGGTTAGGTTCGGTCATATATCTACGTTAATTTCAACTTCATTAAAAAAAAATTAACCTCATACATAATGAAATGGGTAGCTTTATTATTTCATAAGAAAAAAAATAGAGAAAATATATTAATTCAGGAAAACTTGGCTTATTGGGCAAATCTGGCCTTGCATAGTAGGCCGAGAAGTGCATTCTGGCTACTAGGTACGACATATATATATATATATATATATATATATATGTCGTACCTAGTAGCCAGAACTCACTTCTCAGCCTACTATTCAAGGCCCGATTTGCCTAATAAGCCAAGTTTTCCTGAATTAATATATTTACTATAATTTTTTTCTTATGAAATGATAAAGCAACCCTTTTCTCTATTTATGAGGTCAATTTTTTTTATTGGAGTTAAAATTAACGTAGATATATGACCGAACCTAACCAACCCTACCTAACCTAACCTAACCTATATTTATAGGTAAGGTTAGGTTAGGTAGCCAAAAAAAGCTAGGTTAGGTTAGGTTAGGTAGGTTAGGTAGACGAAAAAACATTAATTCATGAAAACTTGGCTTATTAGGCAAATCGGGCCTTGAATAGTAGGCTGAGAAGTGCGTTCTGGCTATTAGGTACGACATATATATATATATATATATATATATATATATATATATATATATATATATATATATATATATATATATATATATATATATATATATATATATATATATATATATATATATATTGTGTGTGTGTGTGTGTGTGTGTGTGTGTGTGTGTGTGTGTGTGTGTGTGTGTGTGTACTCACCTAGTTGTACTCACCTAGTTGTGTTTGCGGGGGTTGAGCTCTGGCTCTTTGGTCCCGCCTCTCAACCGTCAATCAACAGGTGTACAGATTCCTGAGCCTATCGGGCTCTGTCATATCTACACTTGAAACTGTGTATGGAGTCAGCCTCCACCACATCACTTCCTAATGCATTCCATTTGTCAACCACTCTGACACTAAAAAAGTTCTTTCTAATATCTCTGTGGCTCATTTGGGCACTCAGTTTCCACCTGTGTCCCCTAGTACGTGTGCCCCTTGTGTTAAATAGACTGTCTTTATCTACCCTATCAATCCCCTTCAGAATCTTGAATGTGGTGATCATGTCCCCCCTAACTCTTCTGTCTTCCAGCGAAGTGAGGTTTAATTCCCGTAGTCTCTCCTCTTAGCTCATACCTCTCAGCTCGGGTACTAGTCTGGTGGCAAACCTTTGAACCTTTTCCAGTTTAGTCTTATCCTTGACTAGATATGGACTCCATGCTGGGGCTGCATACTCCAGGATTGGCCTGACATATGTGGTATACAAAGTTCTGAATGATTCTTTACACAAGTTTCTGAATGCCGTTCGTATGTTGGCCAGCCTGGCATATGCCGCTGATGTTATCCGCTTGATATGTGCTGCAGGAGACAGGTCTGGCGTGATATCAACCCCCAAGTCTTTTTCCTTCTCTGACTCCTGAAGAATTTCCTCTCCCAGATGATACCTTGTATCTGGCCTCCTGCTCCCTACACCTATCTTCATTACATTACATTTGGTTGGGTTAAACTCTAACAACCATTTGTTCGACCATTCCTTCAGCTTGTCTAGGTCTTCTTGAAGCCTCAAACAGTCCTCTTCTGTTTTAATCCTTCTCATAATTTTAGCATCGTCCGCAAACATTGAGAGAAATGAATCGATACCCTCCGGGAGATCATTTACATATATCAGAAACAAGATAGGACCGAGTACAGAGCCCTGTGGGACTCCACTGGTGACTTCACGCCAATCGGAGGTCTCACCCCTCACCGTAACTCTCTGCTTCCTATTGCTTAGATACTCCCTTATCCACTGGAGCACCTTTCCAGCTACACCTGCCTGTCTCTCCAGCTTATGTACCAGCCTCTTATGCGGTACTGTGTCAAAGGCTTTCCGACAATCCAAGAAAATGCAGTCCGCCCAGCCCTCTCTTTCTTGCTTAATCTGTGTCACCTGATTGTAGAATTCTATCAAGCCTGTAAGGCAAGATTTACCCTCCCTGAATCCATGTTGGCGATTTGTCACGAAGTCCCTTCTCTCCAGATGTGTTACCAGGTTTTTTCTCACGATCTTCTCCATCACCTTGCATGGTATACAAGTCAAGGACACTGGCCTGTAGTTCAGTGCCTCTTGTCTGTCGCCCTTTTTGTATATTGGGACCACATTCGCCGTCTTCCATATTTCTGGTAGGTCTCCCGTCTCTAGTGACTTACTATACACTATGGAGAGTGGCAGGCAAAGTGCCTCTGCACACTCTTTCAGTACCCATGGTGAGATCCCATCTGGACCAACAGCCTTTCTAACATCCAGATCCAGCAGGTGTCTCTTGACCTCCTCTCTCGTAATTTCGAACTCCTCCAAGGCCGCCTGGTTTACCTCCCTTTCTCCTAACACAGTGACCTCACCCTGTTCTATTGTGAAGACCTCCTGGAACCTCTTGTTGAGTTCCTCACACACCTCTCTGTCATTCTCTGTATACCTGTCCTCGCCTGTTCTAAGTTTCAATACCTGTTCTTTCACTGTTGTTTTCCTTCTGATGTGACTGTGGAGTAGCTTTGGTTCGGTCTTGGCTTTGTTTGCTATATCATTTTTTAAATTTTTCTCTGCTTCTCTTCTCACCCTGACGTACTCATTCCTGGTTCTCTGGTATCTCTCTCTGCTTTCTGGTGTTCTGTTATTCCGGAAGTTCCTCCACGCCTTTTTGTTCAGTTTCTTCACTTCCATACATGCCCTATTATACCATGGATTCTTCTGTTGCTTCTCGGATTTTTCCCTTTGGGCCGGGATGAACCTGTTTACTGCCTCCTGACACTTTTGGGTAACATAGTCTATCATACCCTGTACAGACTTGTCTCTGAGGTCTGTGTCCCAAGGTATTTCACTTAGGAAACTTCTCATCTGTTCATAATTCCCCTTTCGGTATGCCAGCCTTTTGATTCCTAGTTCTTTTTGGGGGGAGATAAGTCCTAGCTCTACCAGGTACTCAAAGTTCAATACACTGTGGTCACTCATTCCCAAGGGCGCTTCCATCTTAACTTCCCTTATATCCCATTCATTTAGGGTAAATATCAAATCAAGCATTGCTGGTTCATCTTCTCCTCTCATTCTTGTTGGTTCTTTGGTAGAGAGAGAGAGAGAGTGTGTGTGTGTGTGTGTGTGTGTGTGTGTGTGTGTGTGTGTGTGTGTGTGTGTGTGTGTGTGTGTGTGTGTGTGTGTGTGTGTGTGTGTGTGTGTGTGTGTGTGTGTGTGTGTGTGTGTGTGTGTGTGTGTGTGTGTGTGTGTGTGTGTGTGTGTGTGTGTGTGTGTGTGTGTGTGTGTGTGTGTGTGTGTGTGTGTGTGTGTGTGTGTGTGTGTGTGTGTGTGTGTGTGTGTGTGTGTGTGTGTGTGTGTGTGTGTGTGTGTGTGTGTGTGTGTGTGTGTGTGTGTGTGTGTGTGTGTGTGTGTGTGTGTGTGTGTGTGTGTGTGTGTGTGTGTGTGTGTGTGTGTGTGTGTGTGTGTGTGTGTGTGTGTGTGTGTGTGTGTGTGTGTGTGTGTGTGTGTGTGTGTGTGTGTGTGTGTGTGTGTGTGTGTGTGTGTGTGTGTGTGTGTGTGTGTGTGTGTGTGTGTGTGTGTGTGTGTGTGTGTGTGTGTGTGTGTGTGTGTGTGTGTGTGTGTGTGTGTGTGTGTGTGTGTGTGTGTGTGTGTGTGTGTGTGTGTGTGTGTGTGTGTGTGTGTGTGTGTGTGTGTGTGTGTGTGTGTGTGTGTGTGTGTGTGTGTGTGTGTGTGTGTGTGTGTGTGTGTGTGTGTGTGTGTGTGTGTGTGTGTGTGTGTGTGTGTGTGTGTGTGTGTGTGTGTGTGTGTGTGTGTGTGTGTGTGTGTGTGTGTGTGTGTGTGTGTGTGTGTGTGTGTGTGTGTGTGTGTGTGTGTGTGTGTGTGTGTGTGTGTGTGTGTGTGTGTGTGTGTGTGTGTGTGTGTGTGTGTGTGTGTGTGTGCGCTAAATCACATATTACTGATGAGAAAGAGATGATGCAAGCTAGAATGAGAATGCCGTTCTCTCAATATCTGACGAAAACAAATTGGAGAACCTCTAAAATGCTTCACTTAATCCCAAGAACTACAAAGAAGGCTGTGTAGACAAATAATAACAATTGCACTAAAGTTGCAAGAATAATAAAATCCAGGAAAGACAGAGAGAGCAAAAACTTATACATGAAATAGAGAGGAATCCAAAATACTTTTTCTCCAATGCAAAATCTAGAACAAGAACTGCATCCTGCATTAGGCCCTTGTGCAAGGGTGATGGAACTTTCATAGATGACAATAAAGAAATGAGTGAAATATTGAGGCTATAGCGCAACTGTTCTCAGTGAACCCCACAACACATTGAAGATCAACAATCGAAATGAATTATGAATGTGACACCAACATGGAACCAAATATCAGATGTCACCCCTATCCCCACTGGACTTTGAAGCAGTCAGCATGCCCATGCACTCTGCACCAGGCCAAGACTCCTGGAATTATATATTCAAGAAGTGTAAAACACCATTATCACAGGCTCTAATTCGGTCGGCCACCTCCAGGGACTCGTGTGGCCCAAGCTTTGCTTCAAGAGGCTGGGTCGTTCTTGCCCTTGATGGGGTGGTTCTTCTCCAGCCATGACCACGGCAGTCTCTGGGTTTGGAGTCCCAATGCATTCTTTCACCAACTTCGAGGTAAACTCTGGAGCTGGAGCTCCTAGGGCAGTTTGTTGTTGCCTTCAACTTCATTCTGTTTCTGCGACGGCACTGGAACCAATCGTATTGGTTTTTGCCTTTCCATTGGAGACTTTCGGCGATCGTGGAGAGGGGGAGACGTGCTGCATGGGTGACAGCTTGTTCCCCTAATCAACCTGCCCTGGAGAGGCCACTCCAGACCAACAACCAGAGTGCAACTCCATAGTCTCCTGAGACTGATGGATGACTAATACTACTATACTACTGTATACACATATACACCTCTTTTAAGTATCTACATTTTTGTGTACCATGACGATCCCACTAAGATGGTCAGATGGGCTCACACACAGCACAGCGTCAACACACCAGTCAGCTGACGATGCCACCAACATGCGGATCACAGACTCTAGGCACAATGTTATTATTATCAGCATTCTGGTCAGTAAATCCTGAGTATGAATCATTTTTGCATAAGTTTATTTCTAAAGGCGCACAAAGTCGTTTCATGATGTGAAGATGTACCAAACAATGGCAGAGGGTTGTGGCTGTCTGCGTCATGCTGTGAACATCATAAACAGCACAGTGTTCATTGATATCTGAGCAATGTACATAGTCTATCATAGTCAAGATCTTCTATGATACTATCGTTGCAAAATATTAGCAGTTACTTATATGTTTCATCATTTTTAAATGATGCTGTTGACACAAACTGAACAGCAGTACTGTTAGCTCATGCTGCATATGCCAGCCTTGGTTGTTCATTCAGTACTAAAGCCTTCACACCCAGGAATGGTGTCCATGATTTTTTTTCAAGATGCAGACCGTTTACTGAGAGACTGAGGAAGTTGATGCGAGTCCTGTGTACCTGCCGGAGATTTAAAATCTTTCGAGGTAGCCTAATATTTCATATGATAGCATGTACAGCCCAAGGGTTAAAGAACACAATAAAGCAGCTGTCACGACCAAGAAAAATGACAAGGCAAATAACAACAACTTTCCAAACAAGGGATGCCATACCAATGATGCCACTTTTCTAGACACTAGTACTCTCTAGGGTGGAATATTGTGGCTCAGTAACAGCCTCTTTCAAAGCTAGAGAAATTGTTGACCTGGAGAATGTGCAAAGATCTTTTATTGCTGGAATCCATTCTTATAAAACATTTAATTAATGGGACAAGTTAAAATGCTAAAATCTGTATTCCATAGAGTGCAGGCGAGGGAGAGATATACATCATAATTTTAATTTAATTAATTAATTTACACCTGAAAAATATTAAGAGGTAATGGTTCCAAATCTGTACATGGAAATAGCATCACACAAGACCAGGAGTCATAGCAGGATGTGCAAAATAGCCTCATTGAAAAGCAGAGGTGCAATAGGTACACAGTGAGCACTATCAACATTGAAGACCCAAGACTTTTTTAACACACTCCATGTACACTCAATGGGCATAACTGGCCAGCCTCTCATGGTTTTCAAGAGAGAACTCGATAAACACCTTCAAAGGACAACTAATCAACCAGCTTGCGATTCACACATTAGGAAGCGAGCAGCCGCATCCAATAGCCATGTTGATCAAACCACCAACCAGGAGGACTGGTCAGAGACCGAGCTGCGGGGACGTTGATCCTGGTAATCGCCACAAGGTAACCACAACGTAAGGTTGAGGGTACCTTGACACAAGCCTAAAGTATACATATACATATGCTTCCTGTCCCTATATCATGAGACACCATATTATACAGTGAACTATTGACAATACACTAAATATATAAAAATGTTAAGTATTACATATTTGATTTACAGCTTTAGGAATTTGAATTTGTGACAAAGTGATCCCCATCTCAGCTCACCTTACAGCTGCTCGTAACTCTTCGTACACATTTTCTTTATCGAATCCCAGCTTGTGCAGCATACACACAAGGAAACGATCCTCTTCTTCAGTATAGTTCTTCCCCTTATTAGTTCCATAAGATATTCGTAATTGATGGAATGGTGCTCTGTAACGAGCCATCTGTAAAAAGAATATTCAACCAGTTAATAGTCGAAACAGTCAACAAGTCATAAGAAATAGTCAACAGTCGAAACCCAGTCTTCATGTCTATAGTGGAGGACTGTAAGAGAAGAATAACTGAGATACAGCTGAAAGGTTATAGTGTGAAATTCATGTGGATTCCATCTCATGTTGGAATAGTGCTCAACGAGGTGGCGGATGACTTGGCCAAACGTGCCACATCAAAACCACAAGTTGACATTGAATGTGAATTCACAATGAGACAAATAAGAAGCAAAATCAGAAATATTCAGGCACAGGCGGGAGTGGAGAGGAGAGAGATAATGTATGAGAGTAGTCAAACCATGCAACACTACATGTATGTGAGTCAAAACACCCATTTCACTTATGGTAAAAGGAGAAATGCTTGGAGTGACTCTGTGTACATGCGGCTCAGGCTTGGGTACAAATATTACTGGGAATATGGGATAGATGTTCATGGTAATGACACGAAGTGTAAACTATGTGGTATGTTAAGGTCTCACACCCTTGCCCATTATATTCTTGATTGTCCGTTGATTAATGTATATAGAAACACTGAGATAAGGACTGTTCCTGAACAAATAGCCTGGATGTGTCACAACGGAAAGGTTGATGATATTCTTGAGAGATATAAGAATTTTGCACCAAGATTGTAATATTTTGTTGAATTATCTGCAGGTGTCTTGCAAATTGTCTATACAGTATACCTAGGTCATAAAAGTATTTGTGTGTACGTCTGATAACATACTACTTGTGAAGGAGGAAATGTATATTTTTACCTCTCAGAATGTTTGGTAATGTGTTTATTTGTGATGTGTGTCTATGTATATATTAACACGTTGTACTGAATGGGGTGAGAATAGCTTGAGCTACCTCATCCCTTTGTGTGTATTTTACCTCAATAAACTTATTTCAATTTCAATTTCAATTTCAACCAGTTAATATAGCATCTAGGAACATTGACTGAAAAATGTAGTGTGTAAATAAGTTGCTGTGATGTAGCCGCCATCGTCGACATAACAAAACATTTTTGAGACAAAACATTTCCAAAATTGGATTAAAGCATTACAAACATTACAAATGAGGTGGTAGAGGTACTGGGATTAAAAATAGAGAAAATAAACTTGGTGATTATTCTAATATACAAACCGCCAGATGCAACGGCCGAGGAATTCACAGAACAGATAAACAAAATACCTGTAGAGCCTTGATAATTTGGAGAACCCGATACCTGATATTATCTTCCTAAGTGACTTCAACTTGCCTAGTCTCAGATGGAGAACAGTAAACAATAATATTATACCAGGAAATTGATCGGGACCTAACCAACCACAGATTAGAGAACTACTTAGATTCTGTGACAAATTTTCACTCGGCCAGCAGATATCAGAGCCAACGAGAAATGAAAATATTCTAGATCTGGTCTTTACGAACAATGAAGACATTATCAGGGACATTAATATATCAGATACCACATACAGTACTCAGATCACAAGCTTATTGAAGCGCAAACGACCATCAATACTCAAAATAGACCTGAAACGTTGATCAAGCGAGAGGGGTTATTCAGTAAATTCAATTTTAATAATAAAAGGATAGACTGAGAGAAAATAAACAGGGAACTTACAAACATTCCATGGGAAACTGTTCTAAGTAATACAAGTCCTACAGAAGGAATTGAAAAACTGACTTTGGAAGCGTATCAAGTCTGTCTGAAACATGTTCCTTTGAGGAAAGCCAGAAAGAGATCCAATGTAGAAAGAGAACGCAGACAACACTATAAAAGAAGAAAAAAAATAACGAAAATGCTTAAGCAGATACGACTTTCCTGTCAAAGAAGGAATAATTTAAATAGGGAGATTGAAGAAATCGAGCGGAAATTGAAACACTCATATCAAACTGAAGAAAGGCAGTTTGAACAGAAAGCAATTCAGGAAATACATTCTGCATTCATGAAATGAATGCATTCTGCATTCTGGAAATGCAATTCAAAGAAAAATCCAAAATACTTCTTTACGTGTGCGAAATCAAAAGCAAAAACCACTGTCAGTATTGGACCAATTCGTACTAGTGAATGTTCATACATGGAGGATGACAAAGAAATTAGCGAACTCCTAAAAAAGCAGTATGAGGACATGTTCAGCACTCCAATAAATAACATGAAAGTGAAAGATCCAGACAATTTCTTTATGAGGGATATCCAAACCCCTGTATATATAACTGATATTAAAACGAGCGTGCTAGACTTTGAAAGAGAAATTGAAAACATGCCCATGCTCTCAGCTCCGGGTCCAGATTCATGGAATTCAATATTTATAAAGAAATGCAAAGTGCCAGTAGCACAGGCACTCAGTATAGTGTGGAGGAAGAGCTTGGACACGGGGGAGATACCAGATGCACTTAAAGGAGCAGACATAGCCCCTCTACACAAGGGAGGGAGCAGAGCATTGGCAAAGAATTATAGACCAGTTGCACTAACGTCCCACATAATAAAAGTATTGGAGAGAGTGATTAGGAGTCAGGTCACCAATTTCATGGAGACCAATGACCTTCACAACCCAGGCCAACATGGATTTCAAGCGGGAAGATCGTGCCTCTCACAGCTACTTGATCACTACAACAAAGTCACTGAAGCATTAGAAGAAAAACAGAATGCTGATGTGGTATACACGGACTTCGCAAAAGCTTTCGATAAATGTGACCATGCAGTAATAGCTCACAAAATGAGGTCAATGGGAATAACCAGTTAAGTAGGACGCTGGATACTCAGTTTTCTATTAAACAGGACTCAGCGAGTAAGTCAACCAAATAAAATAGAGTCCAAGCACAGTTAAAAGCTCTGTACCTCAGGGTACAGTCCTTGCACTGCTGCTTTTCCTTATTCTCATATCAGATATGAACAAAAATATAAGTCACAGCTTCGTATCATCCTTTGCAGATGACACAAAAATCAGTATGAAAACTACCTCGGCTGAAGACGTTGAAAAACTTCAAGTAGATATTAATAAAGTTTTCGACTGGGCAACAGAAAATAACATGATGTTTAACAGTGATAAATTCCAGGTACTCAGGTACGGTAAAAATGAGGACCTTAAACATAATACAAGGTACAAAACACAATCAAATGTGCCCATAGTAGGAAAACAGCACGTAAAGAATTTGGGAATAATGATGTCTGACGACCTAACGTTTAGGGAGCATAACCAAGCAAATATTGCGTCAGCCAGAAAAATGATCGGATGGATTACGAGAACTTTCAAATCCAGGGATCCCATCACAATGGTTGTAATCTTCAAGTCACTTGTGTTGTTCCGTCGCTCCAAGCAACAGCCTGGTGGACCAAACTCTCACAAGTCAAGCCTGGCCTCGTGCCGGTCTTGGGGAGTAGAAGAATTCCCAGAACCCCATCAACCAGGTATCAACCAGGTATCAAAGCTGCAATGATTATGGGTGTTCTATTATGACCCAAATATTTTAATTAGATAAATGTTTAGGATTCCAACATAATTCTATGTGAGAAGGTGGCGGCCATCAACATAAAACATTCTATCCTCTAACACCCACCTAAGTTACCCAGACAAATGCCAATACCATTATTTTGATCAATAACCCCTGCACTACGCACCTCTTCTTGAGGTGCGCAGAAAAAAAGAAATTCAGAACAAAATTATTTCATTTGACATTGTTAATGAGCATGTAGAAGGTATCCAAAAGGTAGAAATGAGGTGAGGGGGCTGCATTGGGAACAACTTTGTTGATTTATTTTCATAGTTTCTAACTTTACTGATTTTTTTCATGCTAACAGGTTGCATTTGTATATCAAAGGTACAGTTTATTATGTATAACTTTGAAAATATAAGTATGTATGGATATATCAGTATAGATATACAGACACCATGTACTTATTCATACTAATATTTATATATAAAAGCCTAAACCTTAAAATTGCATATAGCAATTTTTACCTCAAATATATACATAATAATCACTCATTTGCTGTTGTTAAAAGTTTAGTGTCTCCTCTATGGCTGCTCAAAATGTTCAGACACTGGATGCAGACGACGAGTCACAATAACGTGGCTGAAGAAATGATGACCAAACCACACACCAAAAGATGAGGAGACGACGACGTTTCAATCCATTCTGGACCATTAGGGTCCCGGTAGTACAGTCAGGCTCGTTCTCGATGCATGATCGAGTGTTCCGGGTTCAAATCCCGGGCGGGACAGAAGTGGTTGGGCACATTCCCTTTCACCTAATGCCTCTGTTCACCTAGCAAGGGGGGGGGGGGGGGAGTTCCTCGATAAAAGTCAAATGTGTATGAATACATTAATACACTCTGGCTTCTGTTCCCCCGACACAGTGAATTGTAATTATTATCAAGTCGATTGTGATGAGGCGAGGGAGGCACGGGTATTAAGTAAGGCAAGAGAGAGGTGAGGAGCAGGTAAGAGGAGGTAATTCCTAGAGGAAGTTAAAAACAAGAAGAATGGTACGGAAGAATGGGAATGTAAAAATATGAGGAGAAAGAAAAAGAAAAAAGATGGGTAGGCTTATGTTAGGTCACATTTGTTAGAAATGTTAAAGCATCTGAGTAAGTCTGACCAACCAAGCATCAATGACCCAAGGACCTCCCCCCCCCCCTGGGAAAGCAGCTGTCTCGTTCTTTGCCAGAACAAAAGGAGATGGCTGCAAACGAACAAACCTACCACCAGGACAAAATGAGGAGAAAACCCCTGTGCCGGAGGAGAGCATGAAGCTCCCCGACCTGACCCCTAGAGGCCAATGCCAACAAAATTAGAGCCTAGTAAAAACAATCCTGAACCGAAGGGGCCACCACAAACTGAGAAGAGGAAAGATAGGAGAACACCCTGTCCAAGGACCAGGACAGCTCAGGCAGCGCATGAGCGGGCCGGAGGTGAAACAAAGCACGAGATAGTTCATGGAACGGGGCAGATGAGACGTCCACCCTAAACGCA